AGGTGGTGGGCGGGGCTCCGACGCCTGACCGTGTTGCAGCAGGTGGCCTGGGCGGTGGAGACGGGCTGAGAAGGGTGCAGTGGCTGCAGCCCCGAGCAGAGCAGAGCCGAGCCAAGCAGAGCCGTCCGCCAGAGGCAAGAGCCCTGCCCAGCCAGGTCGGCGGCAGGCACCTGCCACGCGGCCCCGCTCCCAGGGGGCAGTTTCTCCGCTGCTTTTTATCCGGAAAAGGGCCCGTTTGGTGAAGTCTTGAGTTTGCTTCCTACAACCAGGCACTTTGCCCCAGGGGTCATCAGAGCTGGCGGCCGGCGGTCTCTGCTCATTTTGAGCTGGAACAAGCTGCCACCACCAGCTTCCCCGCTTTTCCCACCAGGAGGGCCCAGTTATGCACTTTTTTGCTGTGTGGTGTTTGACTCTAAGGAGGTTGGCCTTGGAGTCCCTTCCCGAGGGGCACTGCAGGGAGCCCGTGACCTCCGCGTTTGCTGCGTCTCCTGGAGGCGGGACCAGGAGGCGTGAGTCTGGGGGCAGTGCCCAGGTGAATCGGGTGAAGGGCCAGGACACCCGCCTGTTTACACTCAGGTCGTTGTCAGGTTTTCTCCGAGTGGGCATTAATGTTTTCTGCTGTGACTCGCAGCCTGTAGCTGGTTTCACCCCACCCTTTCTCCAGGGCGACCGTGTCCCCTCCTTGCTGAGCACTGGCTGTTTGCCTGCTCAGCATCACCAAACCATCTTGATTCCTCGGATGTTTTATTCAATAAAATCTTACGCCAGAGTGTCAAGGATGCAACAGTCTTTATTGCTACATTATGATTCAAATGCAGTTCCCACTGGAGCGTGGGGCAGAAGTGGCAATTGCCAGGAAATCTTTTATTTTGGTTTCATTAGTACTTTGAAGAGGCCACTAGGAAAAATAAAAGCAAATTTGGGTCATTTAAGAAACCTGTTCACCACAGTTACAGCGGGGCACTGGCCGTTCAGTTCCAGGTAGGTTTTCCCAGGCAGAAAAGTCGCAGCTCTGGCGTCTCTGTGCGGTCTGTGGGGTCCCGCCCCCGAGGTCACGGCTCACGCTGGCGCAGGTCCCGTCTGCAGGCTAGTCCGCGGCCCCACATGTCCGAGAGGCGGCCAGGCTCAGAGTGCGACTCTCTGACTTTAGGAAACACAGAGCTTGGGAGGGCCAGGCAGGATGGAACCATCCAGCCAGGCTTGGAGTCCAAGACGAGGGTGGACAAAGCAGACCCGGCAGCGGGTGCCTCAGCCTGTCACCAGGCCTGTCCCCTTGTCCCTTATCACCCCCCCCATATTAACACCCAGAACCTGGCCTGGGCCCTTTAAGGTCTACAGGCCGTGCAGGTGGAGAAGAAATGGACATCTGGGCCCAGGTGACCCTTTGGGAAGCAGAGGGGTGCAGGTGCCAGTTTGGGACAGAGAGAAAGAGCCACAAAGGCTGTCATCTTGCAAGGTGGTGACCCGCAGGCACCCGGTCACCAGGCATGATCTCCTGGACAGAGCCTCTGCTGGCACCCCCACCCCTGTGCTTTCAGTTTGTCAGCTCCTTTGCAAGTTCAGGGATACACTGAGCCCTGCTCTGGCCTCAGCGCAGCAGGAACAGGAGCCGCCGGGTTTGCAGGCCTCCCACTCCTGTGTTCCAGCCGGCAGACCACCCCCAGCAGGGCAGGCGAGGGCCCCATCTGTCCCAAGCTCAGAGTCACCCTCAATCTCAGCTCCCATTGGTGGGCTTCCGACCCCGACCTTCTTGAGTGGCCACCCATGGAGGGCAGGCTAGGAGCACTCCCTGACCCATGCTGAAGGACGGCTGGGATGATGGGGGACTGCCTGGCACTGAGGCCTAGCGGTGAGGGGTGGGGTGGGGGAAGTAGGGGATGGGGTGGTGTCCAGCTGGTGTCTAATGTGGAGAGTTAGGACTGAAGCACCTGATGGCTGTTTCCACAGGTGCCACCCACGGCCCTCGCTGTGGCCAGGGCTGACACGGAGCCTGGCGGTGCGTTAAGTGGCTGGGGCCACGACTGCCAGGGCTGGGAGGGGGCAGCTGTGCAGCGGGAATGGGCCTTCGGCTGTGGCAGCCCCACTCCGGGCCGGGCTCAGCCCCCACCCACAGTGCCCAGAGCGGGCAGGCTCTGGGACAGATCTGGGCTCTGGCAGGCCTGGCCCCATGTGCCAGGCCAACTCCACCCTCTCCGAAGTCCCTGTCACTTCTGCCTGAGGCTGCCAAGGGCCCTGTCCCCTCCCCATATTGGCTGTGGGCAGGTGGACAAGGGAGGGAAGCTGCCAGCAGGGTTGAGAGCAAAGTCACCAAGCCTGTCAGAGCCAGTGGGACAGGAACACCACAGAAGGAAGCGTGGCCCAGGGCGGCTGGGACCTGCCAAGCTGCCCAGTCCACCTTTAAGGGGCAGCACCCGGTGGGGGAGGGGAGCTCCTGCCACCCCAGGCTCCTCCCCGCTGAGAGCCCTGCAGGGCCCCCAAATCCAACCAGGACCCAAGAACATCCTGAAGACCTGTCAGACCATCCTCTGCCACTTATATGACCACACACGACAGTGAGCACCAGACCTGGGTGGGACCCGGAGGGAGGCCCGGAAACAGACCATCTCCCCTCAGGAGAACCCTGACTGCTCTGGGAAACCAGGGCCTCTCTCCCCAGTCTGCCCAGCCGTGTCTCCAACACCCTCAGTACCAGGCCTTAGACCCTCGGACCCGGCTCAGACCCTCCACAGTCAGGAGCCCCCACCTGAGAGGAGGGAGCAAAGACCCCACCCAGCCCCTCTCGCCGAAAAGGTCCCTTTAGAATCAATCTGAGGGACTCTGATTAGGGCTTCTGATGGATGCTGGGCTAGATGCTCCAACCACCTCTGCTCAGCCACTCCTGCCTTGAGGCCTTGGGTGTTCTCTGCTCCGTGCCTCAGTTTACCCCGAATGAGGGGGCTATGATGCAGATGAGGGGAGGTCCCTCCCTGGGCCTCGGCCTCATCAGTAACTGGGGAACTTACCCAAGCAAACCTTTTCCTGGAATCTCCCCTCGCCTCAGGAGGGAGCCAAGAGTGAAGAGAATTTAGTTACAAGGGCCAGCCAGCTCCTGCCTAGCCAATTAAATTAAAGCAGATCCTGGGACCTTAATGAGGTCTGGGCCGCAGGCTGCCCAGAGCCACGGCCTCCATCAGGCTACTCACTGGTCTTGTCTCTGGGGGCCAGGTGGTGCCTGGGGAGGCGGCTGCGCCTGCAGGGAAAACGGAGCCGCGTGGCAGAGGGCCAAGGGCCCGATGCGCAGGCCAGGCGGCCGGTGACGCAGGGGCACTAGGAGCCCTCTCGGAAGCTGTGGATCTGCGTGGAGTATTTCTGCAGGTGGCCCTCAGGCTGGGCCTCGGAGTCCCCGAGCCCGCCCCCGGCTGCCTGCTGCTGCTGGTAGTGCTGGTAGAGCTTGGGGCCGGGCCCATCCAGGCCCGGGAGGCGGCCGCTGGACATGGTCAGGATGGTGGCGGTCAGCGACTTGATGTAGTTCTTGGCCAGTGTGAGCGTCTCGATCTTGGAAAGTTTCTTGTCGGCCCGCACGTGCGGGATGACCTCGCGCAGCGCCTGGAAGGCGTTGTTCAGCTTGTGCATGCGCTGCCGCTCGCGCTCGTTGCTCTCCAGCCGCCGCTGGACGCTGCTCTCCCGCCGGCCCCCCGGCCCCGGCCGCC